CCCGCTTCGCCTCGTGCCACGATAACGGCATCCTGGAGTGAACACGGGAAGTGCGCCTCTGGTGAACATGGAATGAATGTTGTGAGCTGAATCCGGCGACGGCGTAGCGTTGGTGTAGAAGTGGAGGAAGGACCACTTTGGGCTTTAGTTTAGTGGGGTGTTCAGATCGCACTAGGGCCGCACGTGGCGAGGTATCGATAAGGGACAGGACCTCGGGAGCCATCATGCCATCTGAACATGCGGCTGGCATTGCACTGATTACCTTGGTCCTTAGGATCACAAAGTCCTGATACAATATTGTTCGCATCCAGACTTGTGTTTGACGATACCTCCCAACCTTATTTCGTTACAAGAAACTTGGAGGAAATGAGAATGCGTCACTGACAACACGTAATTTCTAGTAATCCAAGGCTGGTATTGATGAGAATACAGTTCGAAGATGCAAACCAGACTGCATCAATTCGTATGCGATTCATTCTCAGCGTCTGTGGGTGTTGCTGCCAGTATCGCCTGGCCACATCTCGTCGCGTCGAGGTAGAAATGATGCGCATCAAGTGATGTCTGGTCCTGATAGTGATGTGTGAAAACGTTACTCAATCAATGAAACGCCTGGCAGAACTGTATCTAGAACTCGTAGTCTTTTACGCCGTACAGAACTTGTGTGCGCCTACTGGGTGTTGTGAGATCTGAAGTACCGAAACTCACGAGAGTGCAATTCTAACACAAAATTGATTTGTGTGGTTCTTTCCATACTGCTCAGAAGCATGAGAGTAGATCCTGATTCATGTCGAAATTTTCCCTGTACGTGGTTTGGTGGTTCTTGTGATGCAGGAATGCCTCCAGTCGTCTTTCGGTAGTCGCGCCCAGACCTCAACGCGTGCTCACGCGTCAGGGTCCACTAAAACTATCCACGATCGCATCGCACCTTCACGCTCACCACTCCAAAGACAGTCACCCCGCAATCGCATGCTCGCTATCTTTCGAACGACGTCGTCTTCATATCCCTACATACAGCATCACACGACACAATGCCGCCTAGGAAGAGCAATGTATCGGCGGTGTCAAACGAAGAGAGTCCCGCACCACCCAGATCAGTACCCCGAGAGGAGAGCTTGGGTGTTGAGGTACGCCGCATGCGACTGAGTTCAATTGGAAAAGACTATAACTAATGACGCGACCATAGGATCTAAACCTGCCAAAGTCTATAGTCCAGCGTCTGGCAAAAGGCGTCCTACCACCCAACACCCAAATACAAAAAGATGCGCTCCTTGCTATGAGCAAAAGCGCAACTGTGTTTGTTAACTACATCACATCAACGTACGACCCCTACTCTCTCCCGGCGACAGAAGACTTACGCGCCAATGGCATGCGAGTTCCCATAAATGGACATTCACTAACAACCATGCAGCGCCGCCGAGAAAGCCCTCGCCAGCGGCAAGAAAACCGTCATGCCCAAAGACGTCTTCGACGCAATGACGGACCTAGAATTCTCCTTTATGCTACCCCGCCTCGAAGCCGAAGTCACAAAGTTCACGTCGATACAAGCCGATAAGCGAAACACGTACAGGAAGAAGGTGCGCGAGGAGAAGAAAGGCACTACTGCTTCCACCGATGCAGCTACCTCCACACCGGCCAAGTCAGCGGCAAACGGAGACGTGGTTATGGAAGGTGCGGATGATGGTGAGAGGGCGACGAAGAGGGTTAGGAGGGAGAGTGGAGATGCTGGAGATGGAGAGGTCACGGAAGAAGAGGGAGATGAGACACAGGATGTGGAGGATGAAGAGGTTGAAGACGACGAGATTGAGGAGGAGGTCGTTGGGGAGGAGTTGACGGAGGATCCGCTGGAGGAGAAGGAAGACAACAAGGATGATGACGATGACGATGATGGGAATGAGAGTGATTGAGAGTTGGACTTGTCGCGTCTGGATGGGAATATATCACTGCATGGGACGGCGTTCGGGACGAAGGACTGCAAGTACGGTTTGACACAAGACATCGAGGAATGACTCGGATATGTTGTATTCTTCCTGAGATATGTTGAAGCTGTCTAAGCCCATCGTTCATCTCATTGCATGAAGTCGTTGTATTGCGCATGTCTGTACAGCTCGTAACGTCCGATACCCAGAGTGTCACGCGCAACTTGCAACCATGATACCATATGCTTTGCGCAGCCCCCGTCGTGACTATCGTCTTTGCGTGTGTGTTTCAGCGCTCCTCGAGCATGTTCATGGACTGCCTTCAGCGCTTCGCCTTCGAGGGTATGCTAGCATCGAGTGGGTCACCGTAACGCACTACATATCTGTTAGGATACTTCCCCATAGCCGGTTAGAATCCACTTACGCCTAATCATGGAGCCCTTGTCAGCAATGTTGTCCAGCGCCCTAGCCTCCTCCTCCCTCGCCCTCGTGTTCTTCCACTCATAGCCCGGCTGATCCTCCTGCTTGCTCCACTGGTAACCTGTCTCAGCATCCTGATGTGTCCCACTCCCACCCGCACCGTTACTCGTCGCTGCTTGCGCCATACCGCCGGACAGTGGTCGCTTTCCGTTGGAATTGACGCCGAGAGTCTCGCGAGTTGTGGATTGTGAGTTTGGTGGTGAGATTTCGTTTACACCTGCGAGGTTTGCGTTGAGCGGTGTGGCTGGGTTTGGAAGAGCTTCGTCGGGGAACATTTCATCGTCCGAGGCAACATTGGCGGGGGACGATTGCATGGTGGAGTCGCCGTCGCGGTCTGAGGGGTGGGTTAGCTGGATGCGCGGTCGTTTGTTGGACATGGTGAGTGATTGGCGTGTAGTGGAGGCTTACCTGACATGTTGAAGGAATTTGCCGGGGTACTCTCAAGGCGATAGCGGCGGTGAAAGGGTTTGCGACGCGTGTGGTTCGTCGCGGTGGAAGGCAACAGTGAATGACATAGCGGTGGAGGAGCTAATCGCGGCCCGCCGCAGGGGTCAAGGTGGGGACTCTCGAAATATTGGCGACATCATACCTTGGAACTGATCACTCCTCCACGCGACTCAAGCTTTTGAAACGATACCTCCTCTACTATCGCCAGACAGAGCACCCACTCATAGAGATCATGGCGCCAAAGAACGCACCCGCCGATGCTTGGGAGGACGACTGGGAATCCCTCGCGGATGTATGTATTCCCCTCTTCCTTGATAGCAATCGCTCACATTGTGTAGAAAGAAGACGAGAAGCCCGTAGAAGAGCAGCCAAAGAAGCTTACAAAAGCGCAGCTCAAAGCTCAACACGCTGAGCTCAACAAGCAGCTTTGGCAGGCGGCGTAGGTTACCATTTCTCATTGTTGGCGACGCGACCTGACTGGAACAGCGAAAACCCAGAGCCTCAATGGTATCCTGAAGTCCACCCCGCGCCCGTCGCAGCAACCTTCAAGCCGAAAGTCACGATGCTTGCACGCAAGCCCACTCCTCAAGTTCTCTCCCGCAATATGGCAGGCATGAGCCTCGACGACGACGATAGTGAAGAAGAGCGACGGAAGAAAGCAGCAGCAGATTTCGAAGAGCGCAAAGCACGTGCACAGAAGGAGCGAGCAGAGAAGGAGCGCAAGTACGCAGAAGCACGAGAGCGCATCTTCGGCTCACCAGCTGCTTCCGCTGCAGAGGACTCGCGCAGCAACTCCCCCAACAAAGCTGCCCGAGGGAAAGGACGAGGACGCGGTGGAAGGGACAGCCAACCTAGATCAAGCAACGAGCAGTCGCCCGCCCGTACAGCACACGCAGCTCCTGCGCGCCAACTCTTCGACCCTACCTACATCCCAAAACCCGGCTCCGTATTCATACAGAAGAAAGAATCTGGTATCAGTCGCCCATCTACACCAAACACACAAGAGAAACCTGTTCGTCAGCCACAAGGACCCGCAAGAGGCGGCGGACGAGGCTTCGCTCCAAGAGGAGGATACGGTACTCAGGCAGGTCCGTCAACTTGAGCTTGCCGAGGCTTCTGTCGTGTGGACACATCTCATACAGGGAAAAAAACTGAACAGGCCTGCAGACTACATCAAGACAAAGACCTGCAAAGTAGGTGGCCCAACGTCAACGTAGGCTCCAGGGTGTTCAGTGTTTTCCTAGGTTGGCGTGGACAGACCTCTTCCGCGTCTATCCTCTGAGGCGTGGATGTCTCTTGTCAGGACCTTTGTTGACGAGGAACAGAGGCACTAGGGAACGAGTGACCGCTGCGTCCAGGACTTTCCGAAGAGCTTCCGCACAATGGCTCCACAGTCACCCGAACAGTCAATCGAGCAGTCAACTGATCAATTTCCGCCTCCTAAATGGACATACGCTCACACCGAGACGCTACAGAAAGACCTCGCCAAATTCACCTACTTCATCAATCACCAAGTCGGCAACCTCTCAGAGCACGACCCCAAGCGGAAGGAGCTACTCGACCTTATAAAGAAGGAGGTGGACCTCGACGACATGATGGGCCATATTGCAGCGCTTCACCCGCAGGTGAACGATTATGGAGTCGCTGGGGAGATACAAGGGGTCGCACAAGAAATCCCTACGAAGAAGGGAGCTCTTCCTGAACACCTACAGCCACCGTACCGTGACACCGAGAGGAAGCAGATGGCACGCGAGAAGACTCGGATGCTGAAGCATTCAGATAGCACGACGGAGACGAGCGGTTCATGTGAGACCTCCGAGACCAACACACCCGAATCGGCTGAGGGAAGTCACCTTGATGAAGGAGACAAGGATTACGTACCGTGAGAAGAAGAGGGTTATGAGAGTGATCATCATCGGATAGGGAAGGGTTTGAGACGGTTTTATACTAGGATTGGAGGATGGTCATCACTGGAAGGCGAAGGGAAGGGCAGGGCTTGGGACGTTTCCACATCAGCATACTGCATTTGCTAGTATTATAACGAGAACATCGTATGACACTGTTGTATTGTATCTATGAGGTGCAAGATGTCTATGTTCTACGCAAGATGATACGTGATATGAAGAGTCTCGTTCTCAGTGTTCTTGGTCCATCGTATTAGACAATAGTGATAGTCTCGACCGATGCATCGCTGTTCTTAACATCTTCCCAAGGAAAGACGTTGGCAATACTAACGATTCGATAAAAGCCCCCGTCTACCTCGCGAAGGATATGTACTCCCCAAACGCCTCCAAGTACGCATACCCAGTCACCAGGCTGCACCTCATCCCGACTTGTACCAACAATATCCGTAGCGGTCACGAAGAAGTTCTTGGCATTTGACTCCTGAAGAACTCTGAGATAGGCACGGCTCGCATCTCTTCGCCACTGCCTTGGATCGTCCACATCGCTGGGTAGAGTCTTAAGACCCCGGAAAGCTTTATACGACTCGTATAAATCGTCTTCCCAAGTCTCATCATCCTCAACGAGTTCCTTAAAGACTGACATACCGCTTGAGAGATCGAACACGGCTTTTTCAGCATCCTCTTGGCCCCATCGCTCTTTGTCATCAAGCGCTTGGCGGACCGTGTCCAGAGATAGCATAACCCTCGCTTCTTCTTGCTGAGTGGCCATCGCGGAAGTTAACAGATCGAAAGCAAATGACTCTTGCTGAGACTGTGAGCTGCAATTAACACTACTGGTTTGAGTAATGCGTCGAGCGGAGATCTTCAGAGCTTTGCCGCCTCTTTCTATTTCGCAAACCTCTGCGATATTGTACTCAAGCGCCCCCTCGTCATGAGGACTGCCACATAGTTGTGTGTTAGACCAATCGGGAACCCACGATGGAAGATCCTCGTAGTTCACCGAGCGACGCCAATTATCGCTCAGCCAGCCAACCCTTCCAATCTGAATCACAGCTACAGCAAATTCCGTATATACGTCCTGGACTCGTTTGGTGTAATCAACATCGAGCAAGCAATCTCCAAAGCTACTGATCCTCCCCAATGAACTGTAGATGAAATCTCTTGGGTCAGAGGACTCGAGGTCACTGCCAAGACATAAGTGAAGAGAGGCACTATCGTGAAGTAGGAAGTCGCGTAAGGGAAGGGGCCTTGTGGCGATAAATCTGGTGTTCCTTGCGGAGGGCTTAGTTTGGTCTAATAAAGACCTTGAAAACACGAATGTCCAGAAGCATGCAAGTAGTTCTTCTCGCTGAATGTCGAGTTGACCACAGACGAATGTAACATGTTTGTTTAGCGCAACTTCTTGGCCGACCCACACGCGCTTGAACCATTGGCGATCGAAAAAAGCGTTGATTGATTTAATGGGTAGAGCTGCACATCTTTCCCTAAATGTGTGTTTCAGCTCTTCATAAGAATCCGGCTTGTCGTTGTTGTAGCGCATCAGTTCTCGTAATGCCAGCTCGCTCTCGTCTGCTGCAGGTCCAAGCCAAGCAATGACAAGAGCGGCAGACGCGAAGATATGGCCCATTCGCTGAACCTGTATGCTCTTCTCGTTCAGGTTACTTTGGTCGATACAGATGGCGTCTATCCAGAATATGATTGTCTTTCTGTCATCTTGCAGATGCTCCAAAGCGATGGCAAGATTTGCAGTAGCTTGGAAGATCTTGTCACCGACGATGATTGGACGACGAATTTGAGGGTCACCCCAAGTGTAGGATAAGCCGATGTAGCGGGGCGCTTGCTCTTCGACATCGGATAAAAGCTCGCAGCGAACAACGGTTTGTCCGTGGAAGTCGATGTTGTGAGTTCTTGGAAGCAGATATAGATATCGGAGTTGGGTGCTGGGGTCTTGAAGTGGTTGATGTTTGAGCACCTCAGCATTGTGGAGGTCGAAGGGGTTCGAGCCTCTGAGGTACATCGATATGTCTTTCGTGCGGGTCGATTTTCTCTGCGTAAGAAAAGATTTCAATTGTCCAGCTGACTTCAGGTTCTCCAATACTCTCTGAAGTTTAAATCGGCCCCCGGTGGTGAAACGATAAGTCAAGGCCGACTTGTACTCGTAGCTTTGGGAGCGGCACGACATCGCGCTTGCTCACATGCCGAGTGATTAAGAAAGTAGCTAGAGAAGAGTGTAGACTGATTTGGAGTATGTTTTGCTTGAAGTTATTGTATGTTGGCAACCTGGAGGTTCAGCCTTGGAAGGAGCCTGAGGTTACCCCGCCCTCACGTGAGAGTCCTCCAATGAGGCAGGATGCTAAGCTCGATTCGGCGATGTGAATACTAACAGTGCAGGCGCAGCCTTGAATGTACGACAGCGTTGGTTTACACCAGATCAATACTTGACCTACCCATCTGCTAAGAGCGCTCGTTTTTTCTTGACAGCACTTAAGTTACCAACATTTTCGAGAAATCATAGAAGGACTTGACAAAGGAGAGAGAATCAATGTTGAGACAGCTACAATACTGCCGTTGTGATGTTGTCTCGGTGGAGAGAGTCCAGCGAAACCTCCTCCTCTAGCGAAAAGCCTCTGAGATATTGGAGCGAGATGTCAGGCGTAGAAACTGATGGCCTTCGTAAAGTATTAGCAAGAAATGCTACTGGCATGCGCCGATGTTCAGATGCGATAGGTTTGCACTGCTGTAGCAAGACGCAGTCAAGTTTCTTGGTCGTGAAGATCTACCTAAGCGGTCAAGAAGTAAGCAGGTCGAAAATTTTCAAACGCATAATACCTGGATACAAAAGTGAAGCAACAAGCAAAGAGCTTTCTACACCACCAATAATCGGAGGTCGCACGTAGCCTCGCGATGCAGTACATAAGCGCAAGTCAATCCCCTCACGCGACAACTCTAATCCCTCCCAGAAGGCCCGTATACCGGGCGGGTACATCGACTTGAAGTACAAGCTCCCATGTCAACATCGGATAAACACCTTGAGCTGTGTTCCGGTACCGATTACCCCTCGGAACGGTCTGCCATCGGCGCAGCAAGTACCTGTGCAGAGCCTCAGGTACCAAACACTAGGAGTAGTCTATGGCTGCTTTTCGTGGCAACTCAACACCCCTTCCGCGGCTCTTTTCGACGGTAGACATGCATGCGGCATACCTAATATCCGTGAAGATCGTTTGACTGTATGGTCGAGTTGACTAACCGTTTTGTTTAGCCTATCCGATCGTACGTCGATCGACGCAAGCCTCGTCATCCGCAGTCGATGTCGTTGAGATAGTCTCTCTAGGCAGCAGGCACGGTAGAGCTGAAGCACTGTCCTTTTTCCACCCGCCCGGCAGCCGCAAAAGGAAGAAAGACCGTTATACGCGTCTCAAGCATCGGCAAGACGGTCACGGGAATCGTGGTCCCGGGGTGGCGCAATAGCAGTTCCGTGTAGCGATTGGAGGTTACGCAAATCGTCCTCCGATATCACAGCGACGCCTACCACGATAGGGCAAAAGCAAACGCATGAAACTGGATCTTCCGCCTCACGATAGCAGCGAAGCGGAAGGCAGAGACGCAGGACCCCTCTCACCGACGATTGACGAAAAAATTATCGATACCTCAACACGCTGATCGGAGCTCGTACGCGTTGCCTGAACGACGCACACAGCGAACGGACGACGTCGGGGTTGGCCTGTCACCCTCGCGGAGCCTCATGCACTATTCATGCTTCAACCTTGCTTGAAAGCAAATATGGCGGTGGGCGAAAGCTATGACGCAGGACAAAGTCCACCTGTCTAAACTGCTCGTCAATGCAGCGTGCTGCTGGGAGAAGCCTGGTTTCCATGTGGCTCGCTAAACGGACAGGCTTCTTCCCTATACCATGACTCACCGCTGAAGTGGTGCTTTTTCGATGAGCGGGCGGCTGCGGAAGCGCGGAGTCTATTGCATTGGAAATGTGTGGCGAATATATCAATAGCAGTCACAGGATAGAGAGCTGAATTGCTCGCGTGATCGCCTCTAGCTGTTTCGTCCAAAGAGTCATCGTCCGTGTGGCGAGAGTCGCTAAGTGTTTCAATTATTCGCTATTGTTTGACGGAAGCGGTCAAATCGGAGACGCAGTAAGGCCGCCGGCGGTGACCTGGCCGATCGATGGCTACGAAATGTAAGACGAAGCGGACCAAGGCGATGGTGATGTTTGCCATCTGACAAGCCCCATCGCGAACGCGTCCGGACCCCTAGAGTGATCAATGAGAAAGTGTATTGCGTGTTGCTTGTGATAATTCGTCCGACGTCCGTGATGTTGAGGCGACATTCCGCCACAGGGGAATCCACCGTTTCGCTTGCCACACCCCTGCAACGCGAATCGTTGTGCGCATGTGACTCGGAGCGTCCATGCCAAGGATGTGCACCGCCACACATCGTCGAGTCTGCGGATACTCGCAATTACGGTGTATGGAATTTGCAATACACGAGCGAATCGTTGGGCTCGAGGAATTTATTCTAGGAGGTGCGTCATGCAGCTAGAGCGCTCGCATGTCGTCGACAGCGGTGCTCAGCTTGCGTCGTGGCAGACTAACATGGTTGCCTGCAATGCCTGGCGAATCCGCAGCGCTGCAGACATGAAACTGCATGCGATAGGGCTGCGCAAACCTGAGTGATGCGTCATAGCGATTGTGGTTAGTACTCGCGGGTGTCGCAGTTGCTTCCATACCGCCGCGTTTGTCTTATCCTAGTGGTCGTCTTGGAGACAGGTGGGAATACGGTGTAGAATCGACGGCGCTTCGTATCTCGCTGGTCCACTTGGTGAGAAAGCCTCATTCTGAAATCAGTCCATGACGATAGTAGCATGCGGGTGCGGAGAAAACAGTTCTGCAGGTCATGGGGAGTCATAGCAACGCATGATGTTGGTGGGTGCGAAGGATTACGCAAGGTGAGTTGTCTGATAGCAAAGTGGGTACTGGGAATTTTGACACTTCGAGAAAGTATTGTGGGAAAGCTCGGTAGGAGCGCAACCCGATGAGCCCCAAGGACAAGGCCCGATGTAGTCCAATAAGGACCGAGTATCGGGGTCAAAATACAAATGAGAACTGTGTGCCGAGAGATTACAAGGAGCGTGTTGACGGGAGATACCAGGCTGTATGCGTCCAAGGCGCAGGCTTCATGCACAGCACGGATACAGGCGTTCCGCCGGAGCCAGTCAAATTGGAAGAGCGAGGTACTTGCGCTGCGAACTTGCTTTATCGAGCCGTAGTAGGTGCGAGCGGGGAGATCAAACCATGTAACCGCGACCATTTACTTTGTTGTTGACGCTTTTGATCGAATCAAAACGGCGCCGCTGGAGCGCTATGCAGCCGCGAGTGGGCCCGACATCGACAGTACCACATGCCTTGGAAGACGACTGCAGACAACGAAGTAGCGGTAAACAGCTGCGCGCCCCAGGCCAGCGAGTTGGAGAGGCTGTGAGACATTCGAGAAAATTTTCACGGGCGGGAAATTAGCTTAGGTACATGAGCAGAGGGAAGTTCGAGAAGGGATCCGAGCAATAGAGTGCGGCTCTGAGCAGTGGACAGGGCCTCCCTAGCAGTGATAATCGGCCCCAAGCGACGCGGGACGACGTTGAATGGTGGACCTTCCGCTGTTTCGGAGGGAAGGACTCCAGCCAAAACCTACCAGCCGTGTGCCGCGACGATGGTCCATGTAGCGTTGGTACTAGGCAAAAGGTAGTTTACGAATGGGTACGTTTAGGAAATGGTCGCGAGCTGAAGGCGACGCTGGGTAGATGTCTGGAGATCAACTCGAGCTATATGTCGCTCGGTAGCTGGTCGGTCACGGCAGGATTGGCTGCGTACGACGACCATGTGGGAGGAGCTGCGCCGGTGCCAGCAGATGCTCGCAGCCAGAGAAGCACAGGCAGAATGGGCCGTGTTTTTGCATCCGCGCTGCAGCGAGCCGCGAGTCCTGCCCAACGACGCATCTGGAGGGTGAAAGGGTGTGGTGGAGCTTTGTTGGCTGCAAGGAGGGCCGTTTGAAGAGCGTTCGGCAGCAAACGAAACACGCTGAAAACGGTGACAGCTGGATCGAAGACGATGCTGCACGGCATGTAGGACAGCAAATGAAGGGAGGTACAGAGTTGCGCTGCTTACGCTAGCCACGCTCGAAGGGGCATCTCTGAGGGTGTCCAGGATTACGGGTATATAGCGAGCAACATGATGTTTCCAATATTACACACCCAAAACAGAACAAATATAAAACAGGCTGGGCGCAATGCTCGTTAGGCATCAACGGGGAGTCAACACATGGTGTATACTGTAGAAAGCGTCCCGTTCGACTGCAGAGAAGAGTCAGAGAGCGGCTTGGACAGTGTAGGTTTCGGGGCTAGCTTCCCAGAATACTCGTGGGCAATATGGGCAGGAGGCACAGCATGGTGCCATGGTCAATCTGACCCGTAGATGAGGGACTGCTAACAGCCGGGGTCCCTTGGGCTGTGGTAGTGCATGCATGGCGCCGACAGGGGGCGGCGTTAGGGTGGATGGGCATCCACAGTGGTCCGCGCGCGGAAAGAGCGAAAGAGGCTCGTCTCAAAAGCAGGCGCAGCCCGCCGTCGCTTCCTCGTTTGCGCACTCGAGCATCATCACCACATATTACCAAGCACCAGACGTCAACGTCTACACTCGATTAGGATCCTCCACCCTGGATCCTTCTGGCACCCTCTAGCAACTAAACGATCCTACACCCAATGTGCAGTAGACAGAGCCGGATTTCCCTTTCTCTCTCCTCCGTCGCTGCACCCCCATTCACATCCGCCCACTACCAACGCCCACGAAGACCCGCCTTCGGTTTGCACATCCCCAGGTGAAGCAGGCACCGGCCTGGGCTCCTTCCCCATCGATCCCGCACACGAACTCCACCGCCGCCATCCATTGAGCCGCACCCAGCGACATACCCACCAACATGTACGCACAACAGTATCCCACGCCACCCCCGGGC